CGAATTAGAAGACAGCGGCTACGCTGGCTAAGTCATGTTATCCGAATGGACGAAAACACTCCCGCTCTGAAAGTATTCGACGCAGTACCCACCAGGGGAATACTTTGTTGGAAAGACCAGGTGGAGAAGGAGCTGGCTTCGCTTGGAACGTTGCGAAWAGAAGAAACGACTGTCGCGCTTCTGTTAACTCGACTATAGTCGCGTAAGCGGTGTCTACGGCAGTAAAGAAGAAGAAGAAAGGTCTCGTTTGCAGCTGTACGTAAAGACAGCTCACTTATACAGAGTTGCTGATGAGTAATCTCAGAGACTCAKAAACGAATTTTGCATTAGAAAAAATAGAAATATAGTAAAAAACGACAGAAGAGAAATTSGTAAAAGTTTTAGTATGATAAATAAAATATTTGATGAAGAGTATCAACAAAATATGTATTTAGGAGTAAATGGAAAAATTCAATTGTTTGCTTTCTSCCTTAGTCGTCTCAGTTCTCCAGTATCTGTCAAATGTAGTCTGATTCGTCCTCTGGTTCAATATCGTCKTCGGCAATGTCTACCATTTACGAATGGTTGGTAACGTAGTACATTCACTCTAAAATGTTTAAAAGGAGACAAATTCGGGAAAACTTATATGACTATGAGCATTTCTATGGACAAAAACAAACATCAGTACTTAAGCTTTGGTTTATTTTTTAAAACGGCCAACGTCACACTATCATCGTTTCCGGTAAAATAAAATATTCTGCCAGCGATTAGCTAGGGTTTCTTCCCTGACACGACTCCAAGCGCCTCCCAAACGACTTATTAGAGTTTTTAATGTTACTTTCTTTATAGACCGGAGCAAATCAGATTTCGTCGCTGCTATTGAAGCTACAAGTCTGTTTTTGTAGTGAAGCGTCGTGGATTTTATTCCATTRTGATCCATGGGTTGAATGCTTTTAATTGGCATGTTTCAAAACAAAATTCKACAAAATTTAAGCCATCCATCGCTAGCTTAAAAATATGTTTCGTTTTCCTTTAATTTCGAATGTAGATTTTTGGTTTTTTCTTTTAGCTTTAAGGTGTTACTAGACTGTTTTTATTTCGCATATTTATAAACCAACGATAAAGATCYTTCTCAATTTTAGGCAACGCTGAAGAATTCAATGTTTTTCTTTTTCTACGTCCGGAAAATGTGTTGCCTACGCATTTCAAAATCACTTGCATTTTAGTTTTTAATCTTCGAAATCCTGTGTGCCGGCACCATTTTCAATGCAACCGCTAATATACTCCTTGCCTTTATAAGGTAAATGTTAATTGTTCTTAGTACTGTTTCTATTTTACCCCWAAGAGATTATAGAATTTTTTTTAAGTGCGACTGGGGAAAATGCGTCATAAGTAATTTTGCTTCACCCGCTATTTCTGAATACATGGTTAAATTGGATGTGTGCCTGAGATAATTAAAGTTTCTTTGTGGTRGAGAGCAAGCGATTTGCTTAAAATGGTCCTTAGCTACATTAAGGTCGGCAAATACGCCTTTTCTTTTTATAATAATTTCGCTGAATTTTTGCTGAACTCGTATGGGAACTTCTATGTTTTCGAACTCCGTAAAATTGGCGTTAGCACATTTTAAAAATTGAAGTTTCACAGAACTGGATGCAGTTTGTAATGTTTGATTTTTGWTATTACCACATTCAATGTTGACAGATTTGGACGTAGAGTGAAAGGATGCATAAGGCATTTATTTTGAACAGAGTTAAAACCATGAAGTGACTTGAGAAGTTACATAGGTTTACGGGTTTAGAAAAATATATTTTTTTATTGTCTCCACCGATACTAGAATATTGTATTAAATTGTCAAGTTGATCCGAGTAATAGTTTCGGAGATACAGCCTTGGGAACTTGTGCGCTCGAAGCTAGATAGGCTAAGTGCGTCGTCTTTAAACGCGTTTTTCTGGAAACAATGTTTTTGAAGTCGATTGGCAAAATTTTTCGAGAACTACTCAATCTTCACGAAATTTTACATAGGTCTTTGAAATACCATTCTTAAAGACTTTGTCGAAGTCGAACGATTTGAAAGAAAATATAGCGAAATATTCACTGAATTGTAAAAATGTATGCCAAAAATACAATTTTCAGTTCTTTTTATTTCCTTTGTCCGTTCCAAGTTAAGGTTTTAACTAAAACGTAATTTTTGGAGGAGTTAAACATTTTTTTTTTCAAAAATTTCAATTTTAATTTTTATATATGAAAAAATTTGTTGAAAACTAATATAACCCCTTAACTAAGAAATACCCCTTTACTGCATGTACGCTTTAATATAAACTCCAATGTCAATAAGTAGCTTCACTGTTCTGTCTACTATCGGTTGTTCTACARACGACATAAGGGAGCTATTCCTAAAAAATTCACTTCATCATCTCTACTATCATTAGCGCCCGATTCGGCTATATTTTGATATTCTTATTCCTCTTGAGTAGAAGAACTTTTATTTTGTGAAATATGGYTTATCCATTGTTGTTTTGGTCTCGTATACCCTGCAGTGCCGCTATTTGGCCTTTTGATGACTAATTCGAAGATGTACATAAGGAGTTTTTAATTAAATTCTTTACGTTGATTTGTAAGAATTAGTTAAAAATGGCGAAGCGGAAGGTTACAGAATGTGAAATAYTGGAWACTTTGGAAGCGAGTGATAATTTTTCGAGTGATGACTCTTCACTTTCACCGGCAGATCAGGCAACAAAATATTCCAATAGATGCTTCTTTTTTGGGATTCATTTCTTCTATTTGTAGACAACGAAGTTATTAATTAAATTGCCGCAGAAACAATAAGTATGTGCAAGAATATTTTACCTTAAGAAGATATTCGCGCAAAAAAATGTGTATCCACAACAAACTTAGAAATGAAGAAGTTCTTTGGACTCTTTTTGTAGATGGGTTTGGTGAGCGTCGAATTTATCAGATATTATTGGTATAAAGATTTGTTGTACAACTTTTTAATTCCGAAGAAAAAAATGTCGTGAAATCGTTTTCAATTGCTGCTCAGTGTCATGCGATTCTCAGACAATATTTGCATTTTACTAGGCGATCGTATTAGCGTATTAGGAGTCGTACAAAAACGTGCGACATGGCACTCAATGTGCTAATAATTCTCAATGTGTGTCTGATTCTGAAATGCTTCGAATTTCTCCGGTACTTTTCGAAATSCGTATAGGCTGTGTGAGCAGCCTTACACCATGAGACGTATGTATACGCATGTATATTCCAAGTCAAGTACTGACTTTGTCGCAACACACATCTTCTTCTTCTTCTTGATTGCCGTAGACACCGCTTACGCGATTATAGCCGAGTTAACAACAACGCGCCAGTCGTTTCTTCTTTTTGACTTATAGTGACTTATAGAGTTTGGTTTTTGTTTGTCGAGAGAGGACAATTGCCTACTCAGTCCGAAGTAGCACYTGTTGGCAAGAGTTATCCTGCGTTGGATTTCTAGGCTGACATTGTTGGTGGTGTTTACGCTCCGTCTATATGTAGCATATATATATATATATGTATATATATCTGAATATATATATATCAATATATATGTATATGTAAATTTTTACGCGGCTTGCAAAAATCTGTGTCGATATGTATGCAAGCTCATAAATAAACATCTACATATATTTACGCTGGTTTGTCGGAGAAGCTATTACAACGGCAAGGGACGCAGTGTCAATTGACGATCGTTCGTTTGTGTTTTCGGCATAGTTCGGATTTTCTACCAACGAATATATATAAGCGTACATTCCTTAACATCGAAAATAGCATAATTTTTCTCATTTAACACCGAAAATACTCAGTTCTGTTATTTTCCTGTCCCTGATGTTAAGKGGTGAAACACGCTCATCCAAAACAGTAAATATCCCAAAATTGAAATAACYCTAAATTTTCGACATCGTGAACATTCTCTATAAATATACGTWCTCTGCTCTTACCTTTATACAATAATTCCGATGTTTCACATCTGCCAGCTGTCAAATGAYAGCTCACTTTTTTTCTACTTTCCGAATTTTGCCGCCCTAGAAAATTTGCCGCCCTGGGCACTAGCCCCGACTGCCCCTAGTGTAAATCCACCACYGGTAATAGTAAGTCCAAAAGACTCCGGAAGATTAAAGGTAGATATGGCAGAGTATTCCTCAGATGGTTGGACTTGAGTTACAAATAAGATCATTTCTTTGTACTACGTCATATTTTTCACACCTGTTGTTGTGAAAAAATGTAAAATACATAAGCGAATGTTTCTATGTCCATATTGTGTGCCCTTTGCCATCATCTACAGGTCATTCATCATTTTAGACAGCTCGCCAGTTACGCATACATATAATATAAATATATAGCCAAGGTCATGTGCTCTACTCAAAAAATATACTCCTGTTRGAAATATATATGTATATTCATACTATATATAAATATACACATACATACATAAATGACAAACTAAAATTTGTATATACAGTTATGTATCTGAAAACCCATATACATATGCATTTGTAATAATACATCCAAATACGTGCGTACATAAATATCCTTGTGAAAGWACAAAACAACCAGTTGATAATTTAAGGGTAAGTGCAGAAAACACAATATATATACATACTTAGGTATGTAATATATTGGAGCGAAGCTTTTTCCGTAAAAAGTTCCTATAAAAAAAGATAGGAAGCTTGTTCAAAAATTTCCAACGAGTAGCCAGACATTCTCTCAACAKGTTATGTGAGCATGAGTACAGTAAAGTTATAAGGACAAAAATGTTTGTGGTGTCCTGAAGCAATTGTATATTACAAAAATCAAACTCTCGACTTAGGAGAACCAAATCAGCCAATACAAGATTGAGTGTGTGAATATRCAAGAGTACAATAAAAATGAGCATGCAAAGGTGGCTCAAAAACAGCCCCATTAAGGTTAACGTAGCCACAGGTTTTAGCAGAGGCAAAACTCACAACTACGAATTCGCGAATTTCAGTAGAAAATGAAAGTTTGACAGAGACTCGTTCGTGCTGTATTCATAAAATGYATAGAATTTATCCAATTTTAATTGCTGTTAAGCAAAAAAGTTAATTGCCCAAGAAAAAATTGTGCAAATTTTTTATATTTTTTTTCGAATAAATTCCATAATCAAATCTTTAACGAGCTATCTGTGATGAGTTTACAAATGTACGCATAGATATGCGTTTAGAACATTATTAGGTAGTGTAACAAATCGGAAAAATATTAATTAATGTGATAAGAAAGAGAATGTGATTAAACCATTAAAATATGCCTTAATATTTGATCGAAGTTGAAGTTCTTAAAATAATAAAGTGCCAAAATTTAAAAATTTACGCCAACGCACTTTGCAGTCKACCACATAAATACTGAAGTACACACGCACGTATGTACATACAATGTATGTATGTATGTATATACAAATGTGCTATATTTCTGTGCATACATATTCCTAAGAAGTTGGTTTTCAGGAGCAATGCATGTTGGCGAGCAGGCTCTGCTCTCGCTGTTTTTGTCATCAAATCATCATCTTTGGTACCATCATTCTATTGACAATACATATATGTATAGAAGACGTACTAAGTAAGAAATTGTCAAAGATATGAAGAAGAGACTAACGATAGATGTGTCAAACAGCTCACAGTGCCATAATGTCGCTCAAAAAAATTTCACGTCAATGTTCAGTGAACTAACATTGAATTAATTAAATGAAGTTCAAAACAATACAGATTACAATAAGATTACAACAAAAATTTGTCATCTTTTGTTATTCTATCTTAGAATTTAATTTTGAGTTATTAATTCTTTCTTATTGGTGAAATATACAGTAGAAGACTTAAAATGTGAGATGTATGCATAAGCTTTTGCAAAATTTGATAAAATTTTGTRAAATGCCTATTTTAATTTTTTAATGTGACTTCCAAATATACACATATATATATGCAATTCAAAAATACAAGTCCAATTTCCGATCAATACAATTGTTTTGTTATATTAAACAATATTTCGTATAGGACAAATATGTATTTTTATAATTCCTTATATATGTTATAATTATATTATAGCGAGAGTTGGGGCAGAAAAACTCAAATTTTTAACGAACAAAAATATATTACAGGGTAACAATTTACCTAAAAGTGAGAAACAGAGTTAGTGGAGAATTAGAAACAAGAAAACACGCAAAAGTTTTCATATTTTGATTTCCGAAGTATAGACGAATGTATGTATACATACTTATGTGTATCCATTTAGAAATAATAGCATTGACCTGCATTTTATAAGTTACTGCACTCTTTCAATGACACCTGCAATTCAATTGAGAAATTGAGAGAATTATTCGTTAAGTGCCTAAACTCGAACTATCTACTTGGGAGAAATCTTAATGCAGTAAAATCATTTAAAATTTCTAAGACGAATACTGAACTTTAAAAGGGTTATGATATTACACAGATTGCGTTGCGGTAAAAATTTTTAAATTTGTTATCATTCCCAAGTATGTAACAATATTATTTATGTGTTGGACTTATATGAACAATGAAATCCACCCTAATTTTAATTTTCTATTTGTGAGAAGCCTAAAATAAATAAATATCATTAAAATCGGTGATATTTTCAGTTTTGCACTATAGATTACTAAATCGAAATGAATGAACTTTAATATTTTAAACCGTAGTTCTTTTGGAGTCGCGTCAATGCCGTCTCCCCTGATTAGCCGCAGATTATTTTACGAGAATGAGTAATTAGTGTAGATTGATTGATCCTAGTATTTACATTAACGTATATTTATACTCTTGCAATCTGTTGCTAGAGTATAACAGTTTTGTTCATCGAAAGGTTAGTATATATCACCTAAAACTAAGCGTGATAGATAACGGTACTGTTAAAAACTACTAAGAGGGCTTTATGGGAGCCGGTGTGAAAATTGGATAAAGGCGTGGATCCGCCCACGTTTTCTTGAAAACCCATTTCTCGGGACCCGACCACCTGATTTCGGCAAAAGTTAGTACGTGGCCTTCTTCAACTATTCCTACGTCACGAACTACTACTGTCCCTCTTTCCCTTATACCACAATTTTAAATTCCACTTGATTCTTTCACTGTCCAGTGTACAAATAATACCATATATAAAGATTTTCGTTTTTCATGAGTTTTGTATGAGTTACATATAAATATGTATTTACTATATACATATATGAAATTGCTTGCATTTCGACTCACTGGTTACCGTTTTACACCTTTAAGCATTTCCCTGGCTTTGATTCTGGCAAGTTGCACGTGTATAAAATGTTCGGTTGCACCTGAACTTTGCCCTTATGCTTTAGGTTAGACTATCTTAGATTATTATTGTATATTGTTTATTCACTTTTACACCTTACATGCAAATAACTGTCTTTCTGCATATATACAAGAAAAAAAAAACAACTTTCAAAATGCGGTTGGCTATATGCATGTCTAAATATGTACATATGTATATATGTATGTAGTTAAAAGGCGAATTATTTAGTGTGCGGTAAAGGTATGGTTAATTGTCAAAAATGTCGGAAATCGTGGATACGGAACTACTAGTGAATTGTACAATACTCGCCGTCAGGCGTTTCGGACTTAACACTATTGTAAATTCATCTCTATTGAGCAGCCTGAATCGATCGGAAGTTATCAATCTACTTTCTGGAATAATAGAGAATAAGGACAACCTGGACAACATTAATGACGCAAAGTGAGTTTATAACATTTACTATATTTATTTATATAATTTTATTCAAAGTCAGATATAGATAATAAAACAAGTGTAAAAAAAACCTTTGCTGCCATATATAATTATACTCAAAAGAATGTGCATTCTGAGTTACCGCCCCAAATAATGAGAGGAATTGAATAAATAATAAATGTTGAAACCTATTATATTTTTTTTTTTTTTATAAAGTACAGTTTTAATAATATGTGTATAAAATGTGTTTTACGCAATTTTAAAAGTAGTGTCGTACACTACGTTGATAAACGGCCGAGATATTACAGTTTTACAAAAATTTTTTGGCTAGAATTTTTATACGACTACTGTGTATAATTCTATTTATAAGTTTTAACAGTATATCGGAGAAGATTTAGGAAGCAACAGAAAATGCTCTAAGGCAAAATGTCTATTTTTTTAATGGATTTGAAAAATTTCATACCACTACCACTGCCTCTCTGCCAAGGCGATATAATTCAATAGTTTGTAGCAAGRCGAGTAATAGAATTCATTGTTTCTGAAACTACGTTTTGATGATTAATTTTGAATGGTACTCCAATTGCTTATAAGGAAATTCAGTTACTTACCATTTCGATGAAATCGGTTTGTTGTTGGCTAGATTACGAATTTATTCATGAAAGTATTGAATGTACTCTTTTTTTATGCTGTTTGAATTCCTTATAATTTTAAAAATTATAAGCTTATTATTATTAATAAAATTTATTTTTCCAGTTAATAAAAGGGATATGTGGCCTATTATTATTTGAGGGTTTGATAAAAATCAAACATATCTAAGTCTACTGTCTATCTATAGTTTTTTCAAAGCTCAGAAATTTCTTTCTTTTTACTTCGATGCATCCTTATTTTACAAAACTAATAGATATTATACATATGTATGTCTACTATTTTATTTCATGTTTTTTGATTTTACTAACGTAAAATGAAAATAAAGATTTAAAAATAAACGAGAGCAACTGTTAGAAAATCATTGTTTCATGCAGGAATAAAGGGATGTTTAACTTATTCCAGTGTGAGAGCGTTTTTCCATTATGGCCAGATGGAACAAAATAAGAATTTTTGGGCATTTTAAATTAGAACACCCAACATTTAGTACGAATAAAAATTACTATATAGTGGTTATTTATTATATGGAGAAACTATTTAAATTTTTTTAAAGTACATTAGATCAACTGACTTTTGACCTTTCAGTGCCCAATAAAAGGATTTAAGCTTGTTATCTCTCAATCATTAAATGTTTTTAATCATTTTCCATTGAAAATAATACTATGATGTTTCGAATTATAAAACGTTTCATCAAATACCTTTAAATTTCACAAATTTATTTAATTTTCATTGTTTTACATTTTTTATAAGTGGTCTTGAACGATGCAACAAATCCCTCCGTTTACACATTTTTTTGGTAAGATTTCATTCTGGCCATCGCTCGTTTCCAATTAATAAACGTCAAAACCTAATGAACTCGATTAGCTGTCAAAGTTCAGTAGGTTTTGACGTTTAGTAATTGCTCTCTCACTTCCACTGAGAGAGGAGTTAAACATCTCTTTATCTCTGGTTTCATGAGTTGTGATTCAAAATCTGTCTTACATCTAGAGCAGAGGTGGGCATATTAGCACGCAGTGGCATTTGCATCGTTCGGGCACGCGTGCATATTTTGGTGGCTAGATGAGGGGGTCATTACGGGCAAATATGAAGGGGGAATTGAGTGAGAACAACGTATTTTACCACTCCTTGTTTACGCATGAGAGCGTGCGTTTATATGGGTAGTTGCACTGTGGTTAACAAACATTTATAACTATTACTTTATTGATTGATACTTTAAATGAATTAATTGTTCTTTTTAAATTTTGGACACTGTTTATACGCGCTGATAACATTTMTGCACATTTAAATTATAATAACTTCAGTTTATGAACCACTGCTTCTTTAAACACATAAGTATGTATGTACAAATGAGCGCTCAGCATACACCTATTAGCCTTTGTATTCTATTTGTGTGCTTAGCCACTCTCAATAAATAATGTCATACCGCGCATACTTGATTTTTTATTTTTTTTGAAATATGTGTTCCCTATCTAAAGTGCGTATTATTAATTTAATACAATTCCAGAGGCAACTTAGATCTTTAAAATTTAATAAAACAATTTTGGAAAAATACCTCAATTCTTTAAATATTTTGCTAAAATAACCAAACTGGAAAATATCACAAATCATATATTTATATACGCATTTTCATCAACATGGAACTGCAATATGTTTAAAGAAAATATATATTATGGTCAAAAGTATCTTTCCTTTTTTATATACATAGGTAATATATGTAATTGTAACATAAATTAATTTTCACAATTGGCATCATCACCATTAACAGTTTTATCACATATACATAGTACATTGGTGTGAACAAAATAGGAACAACAATATGGTATTGTGAAGTTTTAAAATGTGCTGTTTTCTTATTAGATAAAATTGTTTTTAGATTCAAGTATAACTTACATAATTTTTTTCTAACAGTGATCAGGTTTTCCCACAATAWAAAGATAAATAACCACAAAATTAATGCCAAACTCTAAAACCTGCAAAATATTTTTACCTCTTTTTCTTCACACAACTGTAGAATTCCGACATGAAGTAAATTTCCGCTATTTAATTTGTATGCAATGTCAGTATTGCCGCAACCACTCTGCCATGGATAAAATGATACGAAACTCTTTGATTCGAGAGAGAACTGTCAAAACTCGCATTTTTTATTGGGCATTTWATATTAACTTTTGGGTATTTAGTACTAATAAGTACGCAGATATGTAAACACATTTTTAATAATTAATGTAAGTATTTAAAATAAATAATAAACAGAAAAATAAAACAATTCATAAAAAAACATCACATATTAAAGAGAAATGTATTCAATACATATTTGTATATACTTAATTGCTATAACTTAAAATCTAATTTACATATGTATATTTTATATATACTATATATATTTTCGCTAAATCGTTTAAAACAATAAAACACTTTTAAAATGCATATATTAATGTTAAAATGCAAAATAATTAACTAATTTACATAAAAATTTATGTTCGCACAGTTTACTGAAATTTCATTTCACAGTGATTTTGTCCCTGTTTGTTTTCTGATATCAGCTGTTCGAAATTCCGTGATCTCCATAGCTACCAACTTAATCAGGGAACGCGTTTGAGAGAAAAATGAAAGCCAACACGACAGTTACGTATCATCTTTGATAATTTTGCGGGCTAAAAATTTGTTCATCCCCTTAGACAAGGATTAAGATGCCACAGTTTTATTCAAGTTATCGCATGATTGCAACCCTTCATACTGATTATTTATATTTATATAACTGTATATCTACCTCGATTAGTTTTTGATGATACAAACCACCGTTAGGTAGACAAAACTGTTATACTCTATAGCAAMATTTTACAGGAATATGAAAATCATATGGATTGCAGTATATGCAAAGTAGAAGTGCTTGTATTCTGATCTTAGTGCAATGTTTAAACTATTTAGTTCCTGAGATATAGAATTTTACCCGAAGGTGAGTAGTGTCACGCTCATTTTCCAATTTGTATACCGGCGGCCTTGAAGCTTTTAATTTCTTTCTAATCTTAACCGTTATATAATGAGTAGCCTTGGGTATAACTCGATTATATTCAGCCGGACAACAAACATGCAGAATTTAACCCTTATCCTCATTCTCAAAATACTATGGATATATGTACATATATATGTAACTACATCTATCTTGCTTAATTTGAAGAATTAAAATAACGGTTAGATAAACCAAACAAAAAAGTATGACACAACATGTYGCGCGAGTATAAAAATATAAATTAATGAAGTATTTATCATTTGCTATAATATTATAGTTTGAAYTAGATTTGAATATACATATAATATTTTGAATGAATAAAAATTTTTCTTCACAGGGACTTTTTAACGGAATGCTTGTTTCCGTCACCGACGAGACCGTACGAATTGCCATGGGAACAAAAAACTATTTGGGCGATTATCTTTGGTATGATGCTGTTTGTGGCAATTGCCGGAAACTGCATTGTCTTGTGGATTGTTGCTGGTAAAACCTATATAATAGATACCACAATTTCGATTTAAAAATATTTAAATTATGATCGTTATACACTTTTTACATATATAAAYATATCCTCAACCAAAATGCAAGCTAATATAGCACCACTTTTATTAAGTTTGAAGGAAAAGAAAAAACTATAGAAAATGTAAACTACTCATATTGAAACAAAATTTTATTCTGGTTATGATTTGACAACATCTACTAAACCGATTTTAGTACATCATAGGATACCACCTAAGTAGGTAGATAGGTAGGTGGAGTGGCCTTTAGGAGGGCCATTGGCCCCTACTCCATTGGCTCCTCTCTGAAYCACCCCAGATAAAGTTCATCATTACGAAAAGTTTTATCTGCACAACTCGTCACGTAACTCTCGGCCAATATTTGCTATAATTTTCCTAAAAAAATATTTAATTCTCTCCTTGTAGAGTTCTTATATCATTCCTTTTAAATTTTAGTATTCAGYATGTTCGACTCATATTCCATTCGTGTCACACTTGCCTGTCTAGCCACCGAGACTGGAATATGTTATGTTGATTGTCCACTTTCACTAACTTTGACAAAACCCTAAGAGACTTTAGTGCTCTCAAAACCGCCTTACTGTTTGTGTATCTAAGTACATTCCTCGTTGTGAACACATTTCTTGTCAGAACAAGAAATTCTTCTAAATTTTCTATGATCTCTACTTGAAAGACACATCCGTCCACCAGGAATGCGATTTTGATATGTAGCTTTGCAGATAACACACTTTGTCCCACTCGGTTATCTAGCTTGAATCTGTCCATATAGATGTTTATCTCCAAGCAACAAGCAAAACAAGGCAATATTGTTAAAATACCATCTAAAACGAACTACATATGTATGTATATCTTAATCCATAAATATTCAAGTAAGGAAGGATTAAGTTCGGATGTAACTGAACATTTCATTCTGTCGCAAGTCGCAGGATCAAAGCGGGCTACCTACAGATATTGGTATATTAAATACATATGTAGAGAAAAGGATCTACTTCATTGTTCGATGAAATGGGGAATGGATTGTAATCAAATTTGGTATCATATTATCTTTTGAAGGTCATATAATCTCTTAGCTTTATTACTATATTTTACTTCACATCATCGAAAATTAAACTAAAATCGTTGGACATAGAAATGGAAATGCTGATTTCATAAATTTTTGACTTTGTTCAAGTATACTTAAAAACATATTTTCAAGCAATTTTAGAAATATAAACATAAAAGTTCAAAAATGGAGAAAAGTCAGCTGGACGTTTCAAAATCATGGAAGGTCGAAAATATTTATATTAGGAAAATAGGTGCTAAGGAAATTGTTGATCCGATTCAACCCATTTTTGACTCAAGAATAAATTATTATCACAGATACACCAATATTTTCGGCAAAAAGTCAGTCACGCGCACTTCAGCTCCTTTCCTCATCCTGATGATTTATATGTATAGATATGAAGAGAAAAACTCTTGTCCGTAAATAATATGAGTATTTTCTCTATATTGAATAGTTTATCACAACTTAAACAACAACAAGCCATTGCGTACACTTGTACTCATACAGCAATTTCAGCAATCACGAATCATGTGCGGAACACAATGCTCGCGACAGACTGCAGCAGCAGAATCCTACTACATGAACGTTTGTGAGAGGGCAAAACAACGCAGTTGTCCATTTTGCATGTACACAATAGCGTTGTGGCCATACAAATACCTTGCACTTCAATGAAATTTTAATATTTTGTTCAAAGTGAAATTTTTTGTGCAAAAAATAAGTAAATAGGTAAATTTATTCGTTTCAAATTATCAATTGTTATTACAAATTATGTAACAGAGCTATTGTATGCTTCTATTTGTAAAATAACGTCAAGTTTGGCAGAGCTGTGCATAATTTTACATTTTACATATTAGTGGCGTCACCACTCTACCTCATCTCTCTATCTTTCATTCTACTGTCAACTTTATTGTCGTCCTACTGTCGTTGGCAAATATAGGATTAAATTGAAGTTAGCGAGAACGACAACTGTCGGCCTACAGTCGTGCGGCTGTCAAAATAGGTTCGTCCATAAGAACGTGTGTATTTTAATATTTGACAGATGTCGTTTGAGGTCTGTCGCGAGCATTGTATTCAACACATGCAACCGAACATTGTATATCATATAATTCTTCTCTATATAAATGCAAGAGATAAGCGTTACCCCGTAGTTTCTGTCTTCGATCCAAATTCCAAATAATATCAAAACGTGTTTTCTAAGAACAATTTTCACTCTGCAAGCGTGGCAAACTTCTGTTGGTGATGGTTGACAAGTGAAAACTTCTCTTCATTCGCCCTTTCGAAGTTATCTTAAAAGGTGTTCCTCCCTTGTCGGAATATAATTTTAAAAGTTATATACATATGTACRTAAGTAGCGATTTTGGTTAGAAAGAACGATCAGTATTACAACAAAAACATATCCTCTCAATCTCTCTTTGTAACTATAATACATATATATGTATATGTAGTGTGCGTGTATTGAAAATGTTTATGGTAATTCATATAGGAGTTCCACATTCTATAAGAAAGAGAAAAAATCCGAAATTACACATTTTTTAATTAACAAAATAGTGCCATTCACTAAAATTTGTATATTAATTATGCTTAGAATAAAAATAAATCAGTAATTAGGTTAAAAATATGAACTATTGCTTGTGTTAATTTAATGTTTTATTTCTGTATTTGTTTACTACGCAATACTACCGACGGATCCATACCAAAGGTCATCGCAGTATGCGCACTGTTACAAACTACTTTTTACTCAACTTGAGCATTGCCGATTTGCTAATGTCCTCGCTCAATTGCGTTTTCAATTTCATCTTTATGCTGAATTCGGATTGGCCCTTCGGTTCTATTTACTGCACAATAAATAATTTCATGGCGAATGTGACTGTCTCGACGTCGGTATTTACTCTTGTGGCTATATCACTGGATAGGTAAGGAACCGAACTATTAAAACTGCAAATATGCCTAAATAACATAACGGAATACATACATACATTTATGTATTTACACATTAGCCCATAAATTACATTTTCCTTCAACAATAAAATGCAACGAACTGTTATTTTTGATCTAAGCCTTATGGACCCGCATGATAAGTTTTACAATATAAGTATGTACCTACATAGATATGTTAATTGCTAGTCAAAATGTATTTTGCACCGAGAAACTTATAGACAAACATTTCGACAGTTCAAATCTTAGTTGTTGAGAAAAACCRTTAGCTGAACAAAATTATTAAACCCCATGCAAGAGACTGTAGGGGCTTTGCCTTATTAAATCTCAAACGGGAAAAATTGTGTATAAAGGCGGATGTCGAAAGTATCTATAAATCAATTTAATTGTTTGCTTTGTAAAACCAGATGACGGATATSCAATATTATACTATATATGTATGTACATAAATACATATGTACATATATACATATAAGTTTGTATGTATATTGCATATTGTTTATGCTGCATGGTATGGGGCTGTTTTCATGTGCACAGTTTCCTACAGTTGCGTTTTTGGTAGGTTTAGGTTTAATATGAAATATTGTAATAATACTTTCTTCACAAATAAAAAATTGTGCTTGTTATTTTAATAAATTTATTAAACTTTCTTGCAGATATTTCGCAATTGTTCACCCTTTGAAGAGACGAACATCAAGACGAAAAGTACGGATCATTCTGTTACTAATATGGGTTATAAGTTGTCTGCTAGCAGCGCCCTGCTTACTGTACTCAAGCACAATGACGAAAAGGTAATATTAAAATATCTAAATGCAAAACAATGAACCATTGAACAGTATTTTTTTAGCAACCTACAATGAAGTTTTTCTGAAATTATGAAAAGAAATAGACTAATATTAATTGTATTAAATATTTTATGTTAATCGAAAATTACAACCAAAACAATCTTATAATCTGTTAGCATTTTTCGAACTCTCAGAAGCAATGTCCATTTCAAAGAGAAATAAATATTTCAAAAATTAGTTTACTTTATTATAAAATAGTATAAATATTTTAAAATTTTTTTTGTATACGTATCGTTTTGATTATTTCCAGATACTACAACGGCAAATCGAGAACTGTGTGCTTTATGCTGTGGCCAGATGGACGCTATCCAACATCGATATCAGATTATGCGTATGTATTAAATTTGACTAATTTGTATATATCAGTTTAAGAAGCTAAATATTTTTGAAATGCAGTTACAACATCATAATCCTCATACTCACCTATGGTATTCCAATGGTTGTCATGCTAATATGCTACACCTTAATGGGTCGCGTTCTCTGGTATTCAAACATTCCTTGCGATAATTGCATATCTGTGTTTCAATCCAATGTAACCATCCGTATTATTTTAGGGGAAGCCGTTCTATTGGAGAAAATATTGATCGTCAAATGGAGTCGATGAAGTCGAAAAGAAAAGTGGTACGGATGTTTATTGCCATCGTTCTAATATTTGCAATATGCTGGTTGCCATATCATATGTTTTTCATCTATGCTTATCACAACAACGATATCACATCCGCCAAATACGTACAACATATGTACTTGGGGTTCTACTGGTTAGCTATGTCAAATGCCATGGTAAATCCTATAATATACTATTGGATGAACAAAAGGTAACAAGATTTATAGCTATACTTCAATTTATTATTAACGGTGTTGTTTTTGATTTTTAGATTTCGATTGTACTTTCAAAGGATCATATGTTGTTGTTGCTATGGTGCAGTCAATCACAAGACGGATTCCCCAAATTTAATTGCAAATAAAAACAGTTTTCAAAAATCTATTAAAGGTACATAATAACTTTTTATACTCTTGCAACATGCTGCTTTAGAGCATTGAGGTTTTATTCGTAATATCTTAAACTAATCGGGTTAGATATGGAATTACATATGTACATATATGTATATATGTACGTACACAAATGTTCAGGATGACGAGACGAGTTCAATTCCGGGTTGTCCGGAAGGATGTATGTTATTTCAATTTTAGAGAAAATCATTTGCCGATAATAATGCTTAAAATATGTAAAAACAGGGCAATGCATCCCCCTCATACCTAACTTAGCAGACTTTATGCCCAATTTGTCAATTTTCAAAGCAGTTTAGCCGTTCTTGAATTATAAACAGTGTAACTAACACGACTTTGATATATTCATATAGATTTACTAAGATAAACCTAACTTATTACCAAACTTTTTTTTTGGCAAAAACGTATAGGTACATATTTTCTCTTGGTCGCATAAATGACCTTTTAAGTTAATGTTTTCGTATTTGTTGGATCGTTTTACCGTTTTTAAATCACATAACCATTTCATGCCTATTGTTAAAATCGGTTATGAATATTCYTGTAAAAACAGTATTCGCCAACTCTTATGAATTGCACCTAACGTCCAGTCCCCAGGTTATTCTTCCTTATTATAACTTATTCATTTCCAGTGCAACTGTTACGGGATTTGAAAAATCTACCAATTGAATAATAATTKTATGACCCTAAATTGGGTGTTAATTAAAACAAGTAAGGAAGGGCTAACTTGGGGTGCAACCGAACATTTTATACTCTTGCAACTTGCAGAAATCAAAGCCAGAGATATATCTTAAGGTGCAATATGTCAACCAGAGGTACAGAATCTAAATCTGAGCAATTAACATTTACTATATAAACTCATACAGTGACCGAAAAATTTGACATAAGATTTGTTAAAAAACGAAAATCATAATACGTAGAATATGGGAGTTGGTGCAGTATCGTTCCAATTTTATCTATTAACTCTTATTATGTAACATACCWTAAAAATGTTCCCTGGGTTTCATTAAGGTACCACACATACAGTCACCAATCATATGGAGTAAAGTCATYCGGATTCTCGAAAATCCTGATATTAGTTATATGGGGGCGAGGTTAAGCCGACTAATTTCATTTATTTCAGAGACAAAGATGTACTGTTATGAGTAAACACGCTTAGTAATTTTCATTGAAATCACACAAATATTAGCCGGTATATGCAGCATAAAGTCATCCGGAAGTTCGAAAATCTTTTTATTAGGCATATGGGGGCTCAAGAAAGTTGTAATCGTAACTAGCGAACTCACCTTTTGTTTCCGAAACTCACTTGATAGTTTTGTTATAAACGAAATAACGCACAGCACAAGGCTTATTTTTTTTTTTTTTTTTGGATTTGTACATTTTTTTTTTATTCTATTTTATTTCGGAATATTTTCAAAACGTTATATACTGATCGAATACCGAACTCGGCGGCGGAATCAACGTACGATGATGGACGTGGAAGCGAAAAAAGGGAAAAAAGATGCTGCGAAAGCTTATGCGCAAGTGCTTGGAGTGTCGACTCATACGGAAGCAAAGAGTGAAGTGAAGTGCGGCTGGAGTTGTCCGTCCATTTTTTTTTTGAAAGTTGTGTTCTAGTTGGTAGTGTGGTGTCATGTTTGGGTGTATTGGGGTGATATGGAAGGTGAGTGGTMAGTGAGGTGTGCTGTTTGTTTATGATGATTTTGTCTGCCAATGTGGGGTGTTGAAATGTGATGTAGCTGTGTTTCATGACGGTGTAGACTGAGAGTCATTTAGACAAAAGTATTGACCCGATTCAGCCCATTCAACCCCATACAGAGATGCTATTGATAGGAAAGGATTCTCTCTGAATGACATTGACCGAAAATTTCGATCAAACTATATATATTGGGGTCTACATACTCAGTAAATAGGGGCTTGAACCGTTTTGGTAAGTTTTGCGCAGTTTTTTGCCATAAGGTGGCATATTTTAAATAAATTATTAGTGAAAATTTGTCTACTGTTACATTAACTTTAGTACACTAGAAAGTAAAAGAATCAAATCGATTTTAAAACTGTGTTATATGGGAAGTGGGCGTGGTTGCAATCCGATTTTGCCCATTTTTACACTGTGATGTCGGAATATGAGAAGAATGTCACATACTAAATTTAATCGAAATCGGTCCGCTGGATGCCGATAGTRGTGATTTCACCAAAAAGTGAGCGGTACCATGCCCATCGTCCAGTTTTTATCCCTTCTCCCATAAAGCCTTCTCGTATCATCTCAGACGTTAATTTTAGTAGTTTCTAACAGTACCGTTATACATACATTTATTAACATACAATAAACTGACGGTAGGAGTTTTTATAATTTTTAAGCTGGGTAAATTTGGTTGTTGTAGATTTAGTGGTTTAGGTGATATGGATATTAAATTTATTTACACTTTTTAAATTTTACAAAAGTTTTTGCCACAGGTGCCTCTTACTACTGCGATGGACGGACGGACAGACGGACAGACAGTAATTCACCCCGATTTCAACTTTTCTCGTCATCCTGTTCATTTATATATACATACAGTGTCGGACAAAACTCATTGGACTAAATCGAGTCTCAGGCATATTCTGTCATAACTTTTTACACAGATGCATTAGAAGGATAATTTTTTTTAGCAAAATAAAGACCGCATATTCTATATTAAAAAACAACTGTCTCTTATACACATCTAGATGTGTATAAGAGACAGCCATAATGTTACCCCCACCATGCTTTACGGTACCCTGCAAATATCGACGGTCTAAACGCTTTCCTGTTCAATTCCATCTGAGTTCTGCAAATTAAATTTGGACTCATCTGAATACAATACCGACTTCCATTGCTCCACAGACCAATTGATGTGCAGTTTTGCAAATTCCAAACGTTCTATTCGATTTTTTTGGAAATATATGGTTTTTTCGCAGCACGGAAACTGAATAGACCAGCATTAACGGCGCGTCGTTGTACTCTACGCACACCTGTCTCTTATACACATCTAGATGTGTATAAGAGACAGTCCCCACACCATAATGTTACCCCCACCATGCTTTACGGTACCCTGCAAATATCGACGGTCTAAACGCTTTCCTGTTGGTCTTCGTACACGTGTAATTCCATCTGAGTGCTGCAAATTAAATTTGGACTCATCTGAATACAATACCGCCTTCCATTGCTCCACAGACGTGCTTTTCGATTTTTTTTTTTTTTGGAAATATATGGTTTTTTCGCAGCACGGAAACTGAATAGACCAGCATTAACGGCGCGTCGTTGTACTCTACGCACACTCACAGTTAGTTGTAAGCTATCTACAAGGTGTTTTGCAGACATCTTTGGATCTTTTTAAATTCGCGCACTATTCTCAAGTCTTCCTTTACCGAAGTGAGTCTAGGACGTCCTCCAATATTAAGTTTTTTCACGGTTCCATCAGTTTTGTGCTTGCGTAAAATAGCAGAAATAGTTGATTTCCCAAGAGAATATTTTTTGCAAAGCTCCTTTTGCTGCACACTTTTTGCGAATTCGCTTACAATTAATAACTTAAGTTCAGTTGAATGTGTTTTTCCAACCATTTTTAACTAAAACGATTTTTGGTAGCTTTATTCGTAAAAAGTTTAAATATTTCACAACACACACGTTCTCATTAAAGCAAACAATTCGAATAAGTCTGATCTACGATTTGAAATTCTAAACACCTGCAAAACTCTTTTTCTGACAAATAACGGTAAATTAATTCATTGGAAATGCTTATTTCGGCAATCAAAGTGTAGTCCAATAAGTTAYGTGGCGCGAGTTTTTTACTTTTTTCCCTTCTGGTTTAAGTTAAAAAWTGTACACAAAAGTTGAAAAATAAAATTGAATTGTTTTTTAATRTAGAATATGCGATCTTTCTTTTGCAAAAAAAAAATTATTCTTCTAATGCATCCATGTAAAAAATTATGACGGAATATGTGTGAGACTCGAGTTAGTCCAATGAGTTTTGTCCGACACTGTATGTAACCCTATCTATCTCGCTTAGTTTTAGGTGATACGTACAACCGTTAAGTGAACAAAAATAATATACCCTTTAGCAACAGGTTGCAAGAGTATAAAAAAATTAGTTAAACTTTTACAACATTTTAATTTTATTGTTGCTAATGTTATGCCTGCATTATAATTTTAAATCAATACCTAATATGCGTACTTTTACATCTTATTTTTACTTTAGTAGAGGGCAAAAATATTTGGAAACGTAGTACAATGGAAACACAAATACAGGTGGCGCAAACTTCACTTCGAGAGAGAATCACCATGGATAGAACTCCGAATAAAGTCGTTGTGGACTGCATACAAGAGAAAGTCAAAAGTGATAGTTCTCCAGTTTATATTTCAACCAAAAGCGGAACTGATCAGCAACGAATTATAATAAAATGTATTTCCTGTGACGAGGACAATAAATATGGTAAAGATATTCAGGGAAAGAATGGAAAGGATGGAAAAGACACTCTTTGATTGTAAATTTAAGCATAAGAAATAAATACCTATGTGTGAATTTATAAATACCTTAAATTAGGTAATTCATATGGAATACGTAACAAACTTTTGCAGAACGACCTAATTAACTCATTATGTAAATAGTTAGATTATTGAGCTTTAAAAATATCTTTATAGATTTAATTAACTGCAATTATATCAAATTACATGTTGGTACTGCAAGTATTCAACATTTTTAGCTTGTTTTGGAGGTACATACTTATTTATACTCACGCATGTTGCCACCGAGTTATACTCTTGTTCACCTAACGGTTATTTGTAACACCTTAAACTAATAGAGATGTATATAAGCATATTAATATGATCAGGATGATGAGATGATGATAGTGTAGATAGAAATTGAGATTACTTGATGAAATTTTCTACATKTATTCATTGGCTGCGCGGATGTCGTTTATCTAAAATTTATAAAGTGTTATAACTTATAACGTATCCGCAAACCAATGTAAAAACTCATATTTGGTAGAGGGTATCGAAGTATTGAAAAATATTGATTAAAATTATTATTAATTGATTAAAAAAGTAAAGATATGGCCGTGAAACACTCCTTAATAGATTGTGAGTACATATCACACACGCCACACATTGAAGCTAAAGCGACCAAATGTATTATGAGCAAGTCTTTCTACATAGTACACCTTCATAAAGTGAAAAGAATTAAATTGGATCATAACCACTCCCCATATACCGATACACGGATATGTTGAAAAATAGTGCGAAAACTATTTAAATAAATACAGCAGGGTAGTGAGTGAGTGAGGGCAGTTTTYTATTTGAAATTTCATATACTATATCAGGATTGTTTTACTAATCTCAATGAAGATAATATTAATATGATTTATATTTAATAATAATTAATATCCTGTGTGTTTTCTCAGTTATTTCATACATTATATAAGCATATTTCTGTTGCTTGTTTCCCTGCTATCTGTCCTCAGTTCTTTAATTGGAGAAAACGTAAGATGTCTGAATTATAATGTGACCGTGAAGACTCTGACCATTATGGAATAAAATTTAATGTCCTGATGTTCGGGCAATCATAAAAGTGAAGCTTGTTGTCAGAGTTATAATTGTGCTCAATTTCATAAATTCCCTAAATACAGGATCCGATTGAGAAAATTTGTCAAGAGGACTAAAAATTCCGTTAACAAAGAAGCCATCTGCAGTGTAGCTCGACTGAAAGCAACATACATACATATGTCATATGTATATTCAATTGCGGTACAGGAACTTTCTAAAAGATGAAGCTTTTTTGAACACGCTATCAAACTAACAGAAGATTCGAAGAATATAATTSCCAAAGTTGATGGAAAATATCAATGCAAAAAAATTTGCATAAGTTGTCCACTTGACCCATTGACCAACCCATCAGACGTGTTTATACATATTCACTGTAATCATACATTTGGCGGAGGTTTTAGTTTCAATTTATAGAGAAATCCACGAGTTTCAGAAGTTTTGAAATGTTTAACTTTTTCCAAAATATACACATCTCTTCATTAGACCAAGATAAATGTATGGCTCCATCGGGAACTTTCTGGAAATTAACTACTCCATTTTCAATTAGTAATATATCAAATGTCACTAGCAAAAGCATGATCCTCTCCTTGCCTCATTATTTGTAATTCAAAATATTTAAATAACTCCCTCAAAGAGGRTCCAACTAAAGTGCTATATGTATCTGTTTTGTAAATGTTTTTAATCTCGAATCAATTATGACATTGCTAAGTGACCCCAAACAACTATTAAACTGACTAACATGTAAAGAGAAAATTGGGAAATGTGTAAATCTACCTGTTCTGAATGCTGATGTCTGCTCCAGGTGTAGAATTGTAATGTTGGTTAAAATCTGCATATGATTATTGCTGATATCAAACGACTCTTTCCTACACCTGCACCATCCTAAAGAACTCATAAAATGGGCGACTTGTTGTTAGCTGGTTCATCAAATATGTGAAGTTCTTTGCTTTATATTGAGGCTTTGACTTTTATACGTCAATATTGAAATTTAATTGAGTGCCATTATTTGTTTAATCGTCACCATGTAACAAATTTATTTTAGGTTTATTTCTTTCTATTGTATAAGTTATTTTGTGCTCTTTCTTCTGAATCTATTTCATTATAAAGACTTTATACGACATTTTCAAGTAACCGGTGCTCAAAAAAGTGACATTTTTTTTTTGATTTTCCTCTATTCGCCAACGCTCTGTTGGCTCATGTCATGTCTGTTCATCATAGTTTTCAATGAGGTTTTGCTGTTTATTCCGCCATGGAAAGTAAAACATTACCATTGGAAATACTAAACTCTGGCCACATCTGTGCTAATAGTGCAACTAGTGAATTCCTTTCCGCCCTTYCGTATTGACAATGTAGTTGTAGTTGTTCTCTTRTGATCACATTTGATCAAGGTTGCCAATACTCAATTTGTATACCGGTTTTGCACACATCTAGATTTTCAGTTATAATTTTTCATAATGAAAAACATCAAAACTAAAATTTAATTATGAATCTCTTTAAGAGAACAGACTCGTTTCTGCGGAAAAAATCCAATTTTGGCAAACGTGCCGTAATCGCCTTGACAGACGGCAGCGGATTAACTGCGCACTCACTGACAGGTGGAAGMTATGCGAGCATGAAATTCTCATATTTCTCAATCAAAATGAATAGAAGATAAACATTGTGGTTGTAAGCCGCTCATTGTTACAAAACCATTATTTATTACAAAAACATATACATACATACAAGRTTTGGTTTGGTAATTTCTCCTATTTTGTCATCTACCCCCACTTCTTCCTCATGGTCAGGGATGGGCAAAACCTTAGATCGTATGTTAACATTTTTAATCAAACCAGCCTTATCCTCAAATTCTTTTTTACTATATGTGAAAAAATTTAAATTTTTAAAAGAAAGGAGCTTAAGTCAAATGCTTTAATACCAAAATCTGAGATACCAACGTCGCAGATTTAAATCTCTTTCTTTGCATAACAAACATAAAAGCCTTTATACTTCTATCTGCTTACATGTATTGTAGGTATTTAAAATGACATTTTAGTATTGAAGTTCCCGCTCACTTCAATAACTTCAGATTAACAAATGTCGCTTAACTGATATAATTACTATAATTGTTATTGGTGGTTCCATGTCAAGTACTTTATACAAGTTTTTCTTGTTTTCAGGGTTTGCGGTTCTCTGCCACAGTTCAATGCAGTCGTTTAAACGGAAAGCTTTCTTTTTCTTCTTAATTGGCATAGACACCGCTAACGCGATTATAGCCGAGTGTGCAAGTCGTTTCTTCTTTTCKCTACGTGGCGCCAATTAGATATTCCAAGCGTAGCCAGGTCCTTCTCCACCTGGTCCTTCCAACGGAGTGGAGGTTTTCTCTTTCTCTGCTTCCTCCGGCGGGTACAGCGTCGAATACTTTCAGAGCTGGAGTGTTTTCATCCATTCGGACAACATGACCTAGACAGCGTAGCCTCCGTCTTTTMATTCGCTGAAGTATGTCAATGGCGTCATATATCTCGTACAGCTCATCGTTCCATCGAATGCGATATTCGCCGTGGCCAACGCGCAAAGGACCATAAATCTTTCGCAGAACTTTTCTCTCGAAAACTCGCAACGTCGACTCATCAGTTGTTGTCATCCTCCAGGCCTCTGCACCATATAGCAGGACGGGARTTATGAGTGACTTATAGAGTTTGGTTTTTGTTCGTCGAGAGAGGGCTTTGCTTCTCAATTTCCTACTCAGTCCGAAGTAGCACCTGTTGGCAAGAGTTATCCTGCCTTGGATTTCCAAGCTGACATTGTTGGTGGTGTTTACGCTGGTTTCAAGATAGACGAAATTATCTACGACTTCAAAGTTATGACTGTCAACAGTGACGTGAGAGCCTAGTCGCGAGTACGACGACTGTTTGTTTGATGACAGGAGATATTGTTTGTTTTGCTTCCTTATCCAGTCTGGAGAAAGCAGAACTAACGGCGCGRGTGCTGAGGCCGATGATATCAATATCGAACTATTTTCTCCAGAAGAAGGTTGAAGAAGTCACACTATAGGGAATCGCCTTGTCTGAGACTTCGTTTGGTATCGAACGGCTCGGAGAGGTCCTTTCCGATTGTGACGAAGCTTTTGGCGTTGCTCAACGTCAGTTTACACAGCCATATTAGTTTTGCGGAAATACCAGATTCAGACATCGCAGCTGTAGAGAGCAGCTTTGAAATCGACGAAGAGGTGGTGAGTGTCGATTCTCCTTTCACGGGTCTTTTCCAAGATTTGGCTAATGGTGAATATCTATTCGGTTGTTGATTTTCCAGGTCTGAAGCCACACTGATAAGGTCCAATCAGTTTGTTGACGGTGGGCTTTAATCTTTTACACAATGCGCTCGATAGAACCTTATATGCAATGTTGAGGAGGCTTATCCCACGGTAGTTGGCGCAGATTGTGGGGTCTCCCTTTTTGTTGATTGGGCATAGCGCACTTAAATTCCAATCGTTGGGCATGCTTTCGTCCGACCATATTTTACAAAGAAGCTGATGCATGCTTGTTATCAGTTTTTCGCCGCCGTRTTTGAATAGCGCGGCCAGCAATCCATCGGCCCCCGCCGCTTCTCCGAACTTCTTCCTAGTCGGTCAATGGAACGTCTGCTCCATCGTYATTAAATGAAAGCTTTACTTATTGGTTTTCTCGTGTTAAAGAAAAATTAGGATATTACAAATATGAGGAAAAAAAATTTCGAGTTCAATTATTTTATACAAAACGTAACGTGTTAACATATTCAATTTCAAACCATCTGCATTAGATTTAATTGTAGTAGAGATTAATTATAACTTAATACTATTGAGCTTAAAAATCACGAAAGTTATTATATTTCATACATGATTTGAAGAATTTTAGTTTGATTCGACTCTTTTTGGACGTGAGATAGCGTACTTTAAGACSACTTTTCACGCAAAGTTTTATTTCAATAACGTCATTGGCTCTCGATGTAAAGTTAAAAATCACATAGGATTTAAAATTAAGATATACATATGAAAAATAGGCGAGGTTATACCCCAATTTCGCTTATTTCATGAAAAATTGTAAAGTTCCTTCGCATTTATTTATTAATTTTTCGCAGTTTTAGTGCGAGATATGGGTATTGGGCGGGGTTAGTAAATGGGCCCGAATCGCGGCGGTCATGAGCGAGCAAGCTATCATATCGAGTGAAATTTCGAAACATTTCGAGTGTCCAGATCGGCCGCACTCGATACGAAACAAATTGAAATTTTATGAAATTACTTCCYCTTATGAATAACATGAAATGCGGAACAAAAAAAATATTTGAATTGGAATTGAACGTAAATATTTAACKTTTATATAGAGATTTATTAAATTTTGTTTTTGCAGATAAAAAAATTATCCTTAGCGTATTAATATTTTCAAATATATTTTCAATAAAAACAGGAACTTGGAATTAACATATCGTAAATATTGAAGCTTATTTCTAAACTCTTCTCTTTAAAGCATCAAGTTCTTGAGTTTTAATCTCCCCTTATTTTATTTTCTCTCCTTAAAAGCAATTAATTTCTCAAAATTTTTATTGATATGGGTTTGCGTTACTTCCCAGCGGGAAATGGTAGACATTGGTAAGCGAGCAAGGTAAACGGTGCAGCATGATTGTATCGCTTACTCCGACAGATGAAAATTAACACGGCGATGTCCTACAACAAGTAACAGATCACTCCTTTCGCTTACCATAGGGACGAAGAATGCTTCGATGCCAAAGATAACGGAGAATTCTTCTATGCCAAGGTCATTAGTAGAATACATAGAAACAAATTCATATTAATTTTGCTTTATTTATAAAAGTGCATGCATGTATTTCATTATTAAAATAAGTATTTATATATAATATAAAAGGGAAATTTTGAAAACAACCAACTTGCTTGACGATTTAACGAAATAATGAACAAATTTACTTATAAATTTTATTCCAACAATTTGATTGTAAATATGAACACAGTAGAATTTAGCCGCATTGCTTCCTTTTATGCATTACCTGGTATCGAAGAATTCTACATAGAATTATCTTCGAAGCTTTCATCAAAGAAAAATGTAAGCGANGCATTGCTTCCTTTTATGCATTACCTGGTATCGAAGAATTCTACATAGAATTATCTTCGAAGCTTTCATCAAAGAAAAATGTAAGCGATGAACYATTATCCCGCTGGGTTCATATGAGCGCAAATTGGATTTTAAAAGAGAAAGCTTTCGCTTTTGACAGCGAGCTTCGTTTTAGTTGATTTTGCAGCAATGCGACTGGTATATGGTGTCGGATCTTCATCTTCTTTCTCGCTGTTAATGATTRTCTCTACCAACTAATTTAAAACTTCTTTTGGCACTACATTTCAAAAGTTTCAATTGTTGTCAACAATAGCGTAGCAACAATTCGGTAGCATTGCTATTCTTTCGTACGAATGAGAACACGTTATCGAATGAGGTAATTTCAAATTTCGAAAGTGTGTATTCGATAACGAGTACAACGATCCGAAAACAAAACAAGATAAAACGTTAACTTCGGCTGCACCGAAGCTAATATACCCTTCACAGGTGCATTTATTTT